CGAATGAGAAGCAAGAAGACCCTATATGACACCTGGCTCGTTATACCTGGGGAACCACTCGGCCCATTTTCAGCCAGCCCCCAGGGATGAGAGGGAGTGCTATGAAGCCCTCTTTGGAGCTCCTGGGGAGGCAGGGCTGGCTTTGCATCGCAAAGAAGGAGGGGAAAAGGCTGCTTTTGGCTCTTTTCCCCTTCGCAGTGCAGAGCCAGCCCCATAGGGCCCAGCAGCTAGGTCGGGTACGCCTTGTCAGCAGCAGGAACAAGAAGACGGCAGTGAAGATCAGCTGGGGTGATGGAGTGCAGGGCAGCAGGGGGCCAAAAGGGCAGAGATGGCAGAAAGATAGGTGGGGGGAGTTGAAGTGCCCCTGCAGTTGTAAGTGCAGGTGGGTTGCCAAGCCCCCTAATTTTAATTATGTGATTGTGGGGGTGCTGCAATGGTCGTAATTTTGGGCACAGGTCATAAGTCCATTTTTTCAGCGCTGTTGTAATTTTGAATGGCTGCTGAATGAATGGTCATTAAGTGAGGACTACCTGTCTGTAAACTGTAATCAAGTGAGTTACTTTGTTACAAAATAAACTGTGAGTTGGATCCATTTCTGTCCATCTGTTGATGGAACAAATTTGTCCTACTCTTTCAGCCCTTACATCCATGCTCTGCTTCTGAACACTATCATAGCTCCATCTACTGAAGAAAAAAAAAGTTCACTGCATTTTTTTTCTTTCTTTTGGAACTGAATGGTCAAAAATAAGCTAGAATCAACAATGCAGGTAAGAAATGAAGCAGAGAAAAATGGGTAAAAAAAGGAGCATCAAAGTGAGTTGGGAGAAACGGAAGGATGGGGAGTAATCAGATGGAGAGACAGTGGAAAAAAAACTGGTAAAAGGCATAGAAAGAAAGAAAGCAGTTGCAAAGTGTTGGGAAAGAGTGAAAGGGAAATCAGGGAACCAAATGTTTTTGGAACAGGTGAACTGGGGATGAATAGAGCTGGTACATGAGACTCAGAGGCTGCATTTGTTGAACTCCAGATAAAGCATGTGAGTGGTATTGCACAAATGCTGTTTTTCTTTGTTGCAAAGTATGCAAGTCACCACATCTTATAAGGCCTCATGCAAAATTCTATGAGGTATAACTTCTTGACCACATTCAATGTAATGGGAAAAGCTGAAGTTTTAGGGAGAATAATAAACAAGTTTTAAAAATGTAAGAGTGGTTTTAGCTTAACCTTGGCACTGAGGAAGAATCTTTCAGAAATTTCACCTTTTCATGTTTCTCTTCGTTATATTGCAGGCCTCTCCTGTTTTTTCACAGAATTATTTACATTTTTTTGCTTTCTTGCTATGTTGTCTAGTAAATCTGCAGAGCATACAAGGTTCATGATTTCTCTTCTGTAAATATTAATCTAGAAAGAGCCTATTAATATGCTACTATATAATTTTATTTTATTGGGTAAATGCACTGAGCGTTTTCAAACTATGTTATTTGCCTTTAGGCTGTAAAATCTCCTTCATAGACAATTTAAAAAAAATCAGAAATAGAGTAAAATTGTTGCAATGAAATTTATTTCTGAGAATTGTTGGTTCAAACAGTATGTTTGTTCTTACATGGCATATGTGAATGTTGGCAAATCAGTGTACATGTCTTTTAAATTAAAATGCTATTAATGTTGCATTAATGTATTAATACATTAGTATTTATTTTGGACATATTATCTGTGTGGATATGTATAGTTACTCACATACAAATAGTGGGACTGTTGACTGTGTACACCAGTTTTAACCAATCCAGATTGCAATTTTCATCATCCCCAGCATGGCCAAAATATGTGGGTGGTACCAATTTGGAGAAGACATTTGTTTGTTTGTTTGTTTGCATATTATAACCTGCTCCAATCTTGAAGGGCTCTACGTGGTTTATAGCAACAAAGAAAAACAGCCACAACCACAAAATAAGATAGATGCTCTCACAGTCAGGGGTTAAAGCTCACAGGAACAATACAGTTTTAATTTTTTGGCAGAATATTAACAAGGTAGGGGCTACATGAACCTCCAAAGAAAAAGAGTTTGTGAAAGTGGAGCTGCTGCTACAGAGGAGGTCTGTTGTTTAGCCTATACACCCCCTCCTTGTTTAGTAACTGCAACCTGTTCCTTAAATCAGAAGTGAAATGTTGCTAAGCAGAATGGTCACTAAATGAATATGTATCTCAGAGAGAGAGAGAGAGAGAGAGAGAGATGCTGCAAAGGTCACTGCTGCTGTCTCATTTAAAGTTCTCTTGTAGAGCGTCCTATGCTACCGTGTCCTATATCTGACCCATTTTCTGTCTCCCCCCCCCTTTTTTTTTGCCCCCTTGCAGGGCAGAGAGATTGCTTAAACTGGCTATCTCTTTCTGAGCTGCTTTTCTGTGCAGCCCAAGCGCTTCCCTAAAAAGTGCTAACCACAAGTTAGCAGGCTCAGCACCGTGACCTTAATTAGTTGATTAGAACCATCCCTGAAACGGATCAGACCTTAATCAGTTTCACACTGAAGGCTTTTGTTGTCATGCACATAAAATTTGGTTGTAAATGTGTACAATGGTCAGAAAATAATTTTTCAAAAAATTACCATCGTATTTGTGAACTGTTGCTAAATGAGGTAGCCATGAAACAAGGAGTGGCTGTACCTCATGAACCTTGCAAGGATGGGGACTTTCAATAGGCCTTCTCTAGAAGAGCTGCCTGGATGGGGAGATTCAGTTCTGGTCTGTGTCAGCATTTTTCAGATCAGTTTTATAATGTATTTTTGTCATTTCAAGAGGTATTTACAAAGCATGTGGGGAAAATAGGAGACAGGAGTATCAGGTATGTTTGCTGCCTTGAATTATATATAAAAAGATCAGATAAAACAACAACTATAACAATGTGGGGAGAAATAAATAGCTCTTATTTTGACAAACATGTATTCTGGAGCTTGAGAAAAATGACCTTATTATGTATGTACACATAATTTGTACTTCTGAATCCATACTTTTGAAATGACAATAATGGGGTTCATGTAGACACAGGAGGTGGTGCCATGGGACCCCCTACTGCAATCTAGAAGGGGGTCTTCAAATTTTCTTCCCACAAACCCCCAGCCACTTTTCTCCAGAGAAACCCTCTTGGCCACTCATTTTCCAGAGAAGAGGCATGTGACAGTCCCCTTCCTTGAGTAGTTTGACCTGGCAAGAAGGCGTGTAGTAAAGAAAGAAATATTTCTTTCTCAGGAAGAAGAAATAATTTAATTCTTTATTGTAGACAGTAAGCTCAGTGACCTAGAAGAAGTTGAAAGGAAAGAAAAAAAGGAAAAAGGAAAGGAAGAAGGAATGAACAATTGCTTTCTGGAGAGGTTGATCTTAGTCACCCTTAATTCAAGAGCTAATTGCTCCCTCAGCTCCAGAATCTCTCAAATGTGTACTAGCACAACTTCACAGAATCAAGATCTCAATGAATGTAATAAGGAATATTGCAGCACGTTTTACTGATCCTAGCTTGTGCCTAAATTATAGGAGCAAGCCCTATTGCTTCTGATTTGGGAAGAATATACTTTCCCCCTTATCTTGCTTTCAGTCCGGTTTGGAGGAGAAAACTCAAACCCCCGAAGACTCCTTAAAAAAAAAAAGCCAACCTGAGAGGAGAAACCTGATTGGCCCCTGGGCATTTGATTTTCCCTGGCTTCTCTTGTCTCTGCCCATCACCTTGATGGACAGGTCAGCTAACTTTCCTTTAACCCTTTAAACTGGTTTTGAAGTGGAATTTTCCCACATTCACTATAATAACATTTGAATGGTCTTTTATTACTTACAGTGACTCAAAACCTGGTTAACAAATTCTGAAAGGAAGTATGACTCCAGTTTATATGCCAGATAGGATTAGCAATAAATTACATGAGGAGCTTGATTCTTGAAGAAAACCAACTCAGATATCTTCTCCAGTCCACAATTTATAATGTCATCTTAATAAAACTTACCGGGAAAGTATGGATGATCTTCTGTGTGATTTTCCCTTTGTATGTGAGCATACCTGCCTGATTCTAGAGCTTATTGAGGCATTTAAAAATAAGGAATATTTACTATGCAAACATTCCTGATAAGAAAACAAAACGGACATTTTTCAGAAGAAATTTTTGACACAGCACAAGTAAAAAAAAGACAGAGAAATGTAAAGCAAGTTGAGTGTTTGATTGCTTGTCCTTCTTGTTTTATTTTTAAAGCATTGGAATACCCAAATCTCGATACTTCAGAAGCAACTAGAGATTACTGGGTGATTACAGGTAAAGTTTTATTTTTTAAGGAAGTATTTTCCCAATTTTCTTAATTTTGATTTCTTTTGACATAAGAGAACTTTGACACTGAGAACTGTTAAAATGAGTGGGATATCTGCCATTTTTAGTTAGCTAGTAAAATATTGAATATCTGAGACTTCTGCAGATTGTTGCCTAATTTGATTAGTTCTTAAAAAAAAAACAACCCAACTATGAATTCCATATCCAAAAATAGTATGCCCAAGGTCCATAAGTTTCAGAACTTTAATAAAAGTAACAAGGTATTATAATTATTGTGTTGGTTTATAAATACATTAGTCATATATACACCTTGTCTCAGAGCAACATGCTTACACTATTCTTCTCAGCGTGCATATGAGAGGGGTGATTTTCCCTACTGCTAGATCGCTTTTTTCCAATAATCGCCCCCCCCATAACTCCCCCAGTGGTTGATTTCCTGAGAAAGTCCAATTTGTCTAACTGAATAAAAGCCACATTCTTGGAAAAATACAGGTGGGATTTGTTTGGGTTCTTTTGTTTCTGTTTTTGCTAAATCTTAGAACACAGTAGTTAAGGAAACATGAACATTTTCAGTATACAAGGTTAAGTATGCAAGTTGCATATTTTCTGTGCTTTAGAAAGTAAGAATATGGAACAATAATTTTTTCTGTAATGCAGCTATGATTTGGCACACTTCACTCATGTTGCAGTTTTGTAGAGGAATGAAACTTTCTAAATCTGCAAGTTTTGTTCTTCTTGGAAAAGCTGTGCCTTGGTTTAAATTACTTCCACAGAGAACATTTATCAGTCTCTTGAATTAAAACAAATACTTTGTTATGCAGCGTGATTACTTTCAATTCGTTTGGCCTACAACATAAGTAGAACTCAATAATTTCTTGGAGGGACAAGTTTTTCTTGTGTTTCTATGATTCCCAGTGCAAATCTAACTGAATCCCAGTTCTCCATTTCTCAGTAAGTAAGCTACCACTCTATTTCTCTGGCCTTTTAGGGATTTTTCTCTTTCAGCACCTCCAAGTGTGTATGCATGTCTTTTATGTACAATATTCAGTACAGCACAGGACTTATACATATGTACAGGTACTGTTATCTCACAACGACCTTTAACAGTTGTGATTGTCATGAAAACTTTCAATTCGAAACTTGTTTTATCCTTTTTGGTTTGGTGTTGCTTTAAGTTATCCACTTGGATTCTGTAAAGAGATGTTGACCAGGCTCCACTCCTCTTTTTTCATGGATATGAATGCTTGAGCATGCAAAGTTGTACACAGTCATTTCAGTTATCACTGGTAAAGAACAATATACAAGTATGCTAGTTGTTAGTTTTTAAAAAAAAGGTTTTAAGGATGATCCTGGTAACTGTGAGCATTGTATTTCTAGTTGGCTATTTTTACTGTTTGTGTTTTATTAGTTTTATTTATTTTTATGATCATTTGGATATGGTGATTCATTTTTTACTGTAATTGTCATCTGTTCATAATTTATAAGGGTGGTCTCCACATGGAAATCAATATTTTAACCATATATTTAACAAGAATTTACAAAGAGAAGGGATGCCAATAAAACAACTATTTAACCTTTTAGAGGGCAAGTGTAGGTTAAATCCTATATAATCTTCTAACAATAAGATCAGCTCTAAAATAGTTGCTATCCACATTTGGATTTGTGGAACTCGCCTCCTAGATGCTTTTCAAGAAAAAATGTTTTATGGGTATGTTGCAGGATTAGGACATATTTTAAAGATCCAGTTTGTTCCTCCCTATGGTAAATTTTCTTTAGCATACATGTTTATATATCTTTAACCCACTACTGCAGCATGTTTTTCCCTTCTATTTTTGCAGTTATACTGGGAGTTGACATTACATTGCTGGGGGTGAATAACCAGAGTTTTACAAGACTCATGGAGCAACGTTTAGCATCACTGTTCATGATGTCTCATCAACAGGGAAGACGATTTAAACGAGCCACTACTGTTGGCAGCTACACTGTGCAGGTAGAGAAAAGATAATTTTTAAATTTCTCCTTCTTTTACAATATTTATGTATGGGGCCATATAGTAGTGAAGATTATGACAAATTAAGGTTTATCTGTTCATTTTTATTACAAATTTTGGTAGTTTAAAATTAGAACTCACAATTTATTTTTTCTCTCACTCTTTGATGAAGAATGAGACAAATAGAAGTATTTCAGACTGTACCTATATCTGTTCCATTGAAAGCTTGTATTATTAGCATGGTAGCTAATGGAGAGATTTTTACCCAAAACAAAAGTTTTCTGTATCATGCAGGAAATATGAAATGTTGCACTGCAACATCTTAATGCATCTATAGCACATGTAAATAAAGGTATTCCAGATTGGGTCCCACCCCCACCCCCAGTTACTCCTCCCTTCCCATTAGTTGGTTATCTGATTTGCAAAGGGTTGCATAAAGAATCTAAGAGCAGGACTGAGGATCTTGTTATTAGGTGTGTGAACCTAGGTATCTCCCTGGGGTAGCATTTTATAAGTGTCAGACCTCTTTTGTTTGGAGCACAGTTTATGAAGCACCTAGAAGCTGGAATCACGCAGAGTAGCTAAGTAAGTAGAAGTTGGAAATGTGAGAGGAATGCAAAGAAGTTTGCAAGAAATTAAACTGGCAAGGCAGGAACAAACAGTTCCCAGATAAGAGAGAACCATTATGTCAGGATAGATCGGGTGCCTTTCACAGATAGCAGGAAAACAGCCAAAGTTCTGCTGACACTGAAAGGTGGAAAGAGAAGGCCTAGAATGCAAATCCTGGAGTATAGTAGGTTTAGACTCCTATGTTCTATAGAAGACAAATTTTGTATGTTTGTATGGGTTCATTCATATCTGCAATAAACAAACTAGTCTAGTCATGTGAGCCTTCTGCCAAGGAAATCAATTCCTGAACAAAGAGTTAATGCCTGGAAAGCTGAGATTTGCAGCCCTGTCTGTGTAAGACCTGTCAATATGCAATACAAACAAGTTCCCACTAGTATTTTTGCACTAAGTAATACTCCTTCTGAATATTTATGAATACTGCAAATTTAATTGAAAATGTAAATTAAATTTACAAACTAATGTTGTCTTTTGGGGACACAGAAATGAGCGTATTAACATTATAGCTGTAATTGTTTTCTATTGTCTTTTTTTTTTTATAAGATGGTAAAAATGCAACGAATTCCAGGTCCCAGGGAGCCTGCTGAATTGACTTATTATACTTTATACAATGGGAAACCTTTGTTGGGCACAATAGCTGCCAAACGTTTGAGCACAGTTGATTCACAACGGATGGCCTTGACCCTAGGATATGTTGTTCAAGTACAAGCTGATCGTAAGAATTATTTTTTGTGCTTCCCTCTCCCCCTTTTAAATATTTCATTATAATTATTATGATTGTTATGAAAATGTAACAAAAACCTTCCAGTGCGGTAGCTTATTAAAAATGTTATCTTCTGTAGTTGCTTATTAGTTGCTTTTTTCTCTTAGAATACTATATCACATTCATTCCAACAATAACATATGGAAGAGCTTTCTGAGAATTTATACACATATGGGATGTATCCATAAATATGTACTTGTGAGTGTGTGAGTGTTTGTATATGTGAGATCATCATTCATATTGACCTTTTATATTAAAAGAAGTGCAAGCGTGCCATAATGTTATCCTAGGTGAAGAATTAAAAGAAATCTAGGATGTAGTCTGTCTCAAACGCAGTAAATATGTCATGAACTTTAAACACTTTTTAGTCTTAGTTCTGGATTCCCATACTGTACTTTCAAACTGCCTTAGTGTCTTCTTGCCTCCTCTGACATGATTTTTAAAATTTATTTAATTTTAAAGAAATTGATAGATGGGAAGCTGCATGCTATAAAGCATGCTTTATAGTTGGTAGTAAAAGATATGTGGTTTATATAACAACAAAATGCTGAATTCCATATCCTGCTCATTTCTTAGAAGTCAGTTTTTGTGTTTGGACTGTCAGTATCTTGGCTGACTGAAGCAAGAGATGAATAACTTCAAGAACCTGTATGTACCTGCTTTGTTCCTTCCTTTGTTTCAGCAAACAAGAAAGCAAGCCATCTACTGTATATCTACCCTTAACCACAACATTTATCTAGACTTTTCTATAGCTTTTTGTTATGTAAAAAGGAAAAAAGTATAAGTGAATGGTTCAGATAAGCTAAAATGTGAAATTGTTTGAATTGTCCTTGCTCATTTGGAAGCTGTTAACCACATTTTGTTTCTTGGTTGGTTTATTTACCAACAGTTCCTGTTTGGAACATAAGAGGAATATATAGATAACTGAATAAGCTAGTTCCAATAAGCTAGTACACAATATTTGCTGGTACAAAGGAAGTCCAAAGTGGCTGCATAAAACTAATCAATATCTGAACTTGTTAAGCTAAGATCCTGATACTCTGAAGTAGGTCAAGATATCCTCTACAGAGCAAGTGATTTCTAAATTGCAGTTAAACACTCGCTGTTTGTCTATAGTTTTGTCAAGACTGAAATTATGTATATTAATTGTAGATAAAATAAGCTTGTGATAAATTATTCTGACATTGGAGATTATCTCTATGTTGAATTATTTCCACTCATTACAGTGTATTCAGGGTTGCTGTAGACACACTTATGTTACATAACTGATTTTAAGGACAGAGCCACTCTTCCTACTTCCCCCATCATGAACATGAGCCACTGATCATTTCAAAGCGGGCAGGAACACTTTATGTCATCCACCCCCAGCCTGCAGTAAATGCAACCTCTGCCCATGTTTTCTGCATCTTCTCAAAACTGATGACCTATTTGCCTGCTGAGGTGTTTTTTTTTTTTTTTTTTTTGCATCATAGGCAAATGCCTCTGATTTGATTAGGTAGTGCAGTGTTTCTCAACCTTGGTAACTTTAAGATGTGTGGACTTCAACTCCCAGAATTCCCCCCCCCACCTTTCTTTGTCGTGGGTGTTGGGGGATGTAAAGCA